AATGGCGGCTTGGGCACACAGTTTTATTTGTGGGCAGAGGCCGGCCCGAGTCCCGCTTCTGGAAGGGCAAAGAGCGGAGTGGATACTGTTGGATGTCGGGGAGCAGTGGGGAAATGGAGGATGGTTAGCTGAGACAGAACAAGTAGGGCAGGAGAAAAAATATCTGACCCTTATATTACGGCTATATGAGAGTCTGCAAGTCGGTGTATGGGGGCTTACAGCTGGTCAAATGTATCATCCTTTTATCCTTTTTTTAGGTAATTCAGAAATCAGTTACTGAAAATGTTGGGCTCTGATAAGTTTTTTCTGACTAATGCAACAAAGTGGAACAACACATTTTCGAAATATTCATACGATTTTGCATACATCTTGCCATAAGAACATCATATAGCTCATGGTTAGGCAACTACCTCCCACGTTGTCTTTATATTCTTGTTGCTTATTGAATACTCACGTTTTCCTCTGGCTGTTTTACTCAGCAACAACGACTGGTTGTCCGTATAGTGCTGCAAAAGCCTTTGTAAGAATGCTATTTCCGGCAAGCAAAGACTTTTATAGCAATCAACAGCAAAGGAAAAAGTTTAGACCCTGATAAATGCAGTAAAGGTTATTGTTACCTGGAAAAGACCTGCAAGTGAAAACATGCTTTTGTCCATTCTGAGAAAATAACCATGATGATGTAACTGTGCTGCCATCAGTGTTGTCTCATTTTGGTTTTAAAATAAATCCTGTTTTAAAAGCATAAAGAACAGGTGAGCATGGATTTGAAAGGTCTGGGTGCATTTAGCTGTGGGAGGGTCTATGAAAGATGCTGTTGATTTGCATTGTGGGGCAGTGAATACTGAGTCCCGCAAAGAATCAAGTGTTGGGCCCAACCTGTTCAACTCCGGACGTACCAATGTCCCACTGCAGGGAGTGGAGACGTGCTCTCATTGGTGTAATGGAACAACAATAAGAAAACGTTTAGATTTAACGTTCATGAGAAAATTATACTCTAAAAATATCCTCACAGGCTGCCTCTATCCTGAGGCAGCAAGGATTTTGTCTTGGGCCGCTATACATGAATAATAATGAGACAAGCTTTGGTAACACACAGTTTCTTGTTTGGCGTTGAGGGATGATGCCACTGGGAGTGAATGTATAAGCCAAAGTCCACATCAGTGATCAGCTTCAGCTATTTGTATGTGAGTCAATACGCAGCCTGCTGTCTTTTTAGGGAGGGCCAGATAGCCCATATCATGACACGACGCTGTTAAGGAAGCAGCCTTTTCTTATCTGCATGCCCTTGAGTACGCGCCATTGATATGCCACCTTGACTCTATCTTCATGCCAGATGCTTCAATTATGGGCGAGCCGCTGGAGTGAGGCAGAGCGTGGGTTTCTCTTGCGAATGAAAACGGTCATGGGTTAATGTGATCCCGCTGGCTTTTTTCCGCCCACAGGGATGGTTTTTGCTCCATGGAGGGTTGAAGAATCTGCCAATTCTCACTCAACACTTCGCGCAGTTCAAGCTTCGCTCAGCAGTCTCATACCTGCCGAATTAGGTAGAGCTGATGTATTTAGTGACATGGCTGCTCACGGGCCTTGAGCTCGCGCAATCCTGCATCCATTACATGTAGCCGTTCAATACATATAGCGTGGGGATTTTCGCTGGTGAGGCATCAGTTCCTGTGCTATCAATTGTTTCTTTAGATGCGCGCTTTTAAGGGGCAGCCTGATGTCAGGCAGCCGGGCGGAGGTGACCAGCACAGTAAAGGGCAGCCGCGTGACTGAGCAGGCAGGCTGTCAGCTCATGAGGTTTGACAACTCAGTGAGAGACGGATCGGAGAACGATATGAAGTCCTGACTTGTTTATAGCGCCGTGGAAGATTCTTCACGCTCGGATGATCGCGTCCCAAGCATTGCTCTTCTATTATGTCAATTTATTGCCAGGCTTAGCAGAAGTATTCTCTATTGTTGCCTAAATCTGGTTTTCACTGAAGACCAGAAAATTAGCAGGATGTTGCGTATGCCAAGCCTGTGTCGCTTTGGACATGTTATCCGCTTAAAAAAAAGTATTCTCCACAGTCTATTTAATGTGGACCACTATCATGGCTATATTTGAATAATATAGTGTAAGGAGCCATCCTACTATGAGGCATATTTACATACTTTTTAATTTTTTCAAAAAGCGCAAACAGATCATGGATTTTAGCCATTCCTTTATTTCGGCTCAAATTTACAGCTGTCCTTGCATGGGCGATTCTGTGAGAACAGCAGGCATCTAGCAGGCCTGGCATATGTACTAGCAGCGTCTCCCAGCGGCCTTCGAACGGTAATCGTTCCGTGGCTGTCTCCACTGATTGGTGGAGATTGGCGCAATAGCCGTAGCAGGCGCTTCTGTGAGCGTCATGAAGCTGTTGCAAATCTGGAATCAGTATTGTATGCGAGATCGCGTTGCAGTCCGCGATTTTCAAGAGATTTGGGTATGGAGGAAAATAGAGAGGGTTGTGTTTTCTGACACTTGGTGAGTTCCCTGGAACACCGGGGACACATATTCATGTATAAAAGACGTACAAAAGTGCATTTTGCATGATAGGACACCTTTAAATAAAATTGTTGAATGATAACAAGCTATTTTGTAACTTCTTTCAAAAATGTTAAGATCTCATACAAGTTCAATTTACTTGATTCCCTCACTTCCAGAAGAGGGCAGCACTTCTTTACCATATGTAACTTCTGCCATATACAGTTTTCTGGCATTTGAGGCTCTCCTGTGTAATTTATTAAGGAGAAGTATGCAGACCGAGGCCATAATCTTCAAAGTGGAGAAGATGCTGCTCATTCCCTGCATGCTTCTCATCCCTTTAATCTCACCCTCCCACTTCACCATTTAAAAAAGGAAGCTATTCAGACTCAAACCTTCTGTTTCATAAACACTGTGATTTATGGAAAGTGAACAATGCCATTTACATCAGACTTGAGTCACTTCCACTTGTATTGCCTGTCTCCCTTCTTCTCTCAGTCTCTCTCCCCTGTTCTCTCAACTTGCCTTACTTTTTTCGTTTCCCCCCTCTCCCTCTTTGCTTGTGCTCCACCCTATAATCACACCGGTTCATGGCTCTCATTTGGAGCGGTATATATAGCAGTAATTGTCAGGCTGCAGTACGGAGACTGGGCAGAGCATGTGTACTCTCTCACAGGGCTGTTTCGCAATAAATCTCATAGTGGAGAGGAGAGGATTGGGGTGGTGGGGGGTTGAGTACGTGCACGAGCAAAGGCACGCACGCACACAAGGGCTTACACACTCCTAAGAAGACACTAAGCGCATAGAGAAGTAGATAACATTTTACAATCCTATAAGAAAAAGGCATTGTACTAATTTGTTAGCGTTCTCTTTGCTTCTGTAAGTCATTATATCTCGGTGACTATTCATTCACTCTCTCAATGGGCCTGAAATGGAAATTGAATGTGTCTCATAATGTGTTTTTTCACTTAACTGGATGGGACAATTATGCAAATGTGTTAATTATTCATGAAAGCATCTCCTTATCGGTAAATATTAACAATCCCAGGTGATGAGTTAGGGCCTGTGTCTCAGGTGGTCTGCTCATGATCCATGAGCACATACTATGCGCGTGCAAATCAATTTTAAGTGGAAGACAACATTAATGAGCATTCTTAGCTTCTTGCATTATACAGAAGAAGCTTATCACCTCTAATGTGAAAAAAAGCATGTCATCATGGAGGCAGCACAAATCCAGACAGGTTCAAGGGTTTTTATTATCGAAGCAGCCATTTGGCTTTAAGCAGACACATTCCTGCTGAATAATCTGAAGTTTGATCAAAAAAATCTTGTGATCAAATCCTACGACATGTCTGTCTGCGCTATAAACCATGGAACACTGCTTTCATGAGAGATGACGGCAAAACCTGTTATGCCCTTCAGTTGTTTGTGTGTGTGTGTGTGTGTGTGTGTGTGTGTGTGTGTGTGTGTGTGTGTGTGTGTGTGTGTGTGTGTGTGTATAAAGAGGGAGGGGGGGTGTCCTTGTAGCTTGTATGGACAGGTCTGTCATTCAGTGAGCGCACACAGTCTCCATTGTGGAGCCGCCTGTGGTCCCCATCAGGTCAGGGTGGAGTGGCGAAGGGGGCCTCCTGAATAAAAACACGTGCAGCAAACAGGAAGTGTGCCTGTAAGGATAAAATGAGAACTGCTTGGCTGAGCGTATGGAGTTCGGTCATAGGTCGACAACTTTTTTCCTTGCCTCAAATTGTTTTCTTTGTCCTGTTCTGTTTTATCTTTATCTTTGGGAAGGGGTGATCCACACGTATCCCCGCTGTTCTGGAAATGTAATCAAGTTCTGACTCGGAACATCCCACTCTCTTAAAGCAAGGTCCAGACCGTATCTAGTGTCTGACACTAGGATTAGATAATTTTTGCTTTTTCTAAGTAGTGACAATATTTGAAGTCCACTATACTTGCTCACAGTATGTGTTCACGTGTGTTTACAGAAATACAGTATGCTGAAAGGGCATGAAAGGATGCTGAATGTGTGTGAGTACACTCTGTGAACCCAGGTGCTCTGCTTTCAAGTTTTCCTTTCCTGTTTGCCCAGCAGCTGTTTCATCCCAGCGAGCGACCACTTCACAGCTCCGCTGTTTTCTTTCTGGGTGGACTTGTCAGCTATGATCAAATCAGTCTTTTGTTAAGAGTACATTTCCTTTCCAGACATAGCTGATTACTCCACCTACTTTGATACGCTCAAATGTAGTCATTAATCCCTGGACACTTTTGTGTATTTTTCTTACTGAAATAGTTAGGCGATTTCTCGGTTCCCATGAGGGGCAGTGTTTGCAAAGGATTTAGTCACAGACAATCTAACAGCTTTAAAGGGTTGTCTTTGGGCAGCTTAGGCATTTTAGGGGAAACCTTGTACAATAAAGTTCTAGTTTCCAACCAGCCTTTTTTAAGTGTCTGAAAACCAAGAGTGCTTGAGTAACTAGTATGACAGATCAGATGTTCACCCACAGAATGAATCATATGTATCGGAGCAGGTGGACTGAAAATGCTACTGGATAATATCAGCTTCTGTATTCACAATTGAAGCCTCTTTTTATAAAAATATATTCTGCAGTCATGTTTTAGCATCAAGAAGGAGGCAGGAGGTAGACGACAGCTTAGTATGTGAAGAAGTTTAATTGATTCACAGTAATGATGAATGAAGAGATTGTGATTTGGTCTTTAACTGAAATTTGCTCCTGACTCAGCGAGTGTCTATCAAAAAGTTATCCTCCACAAACATGCAAGCACACATTACCTTCTGTAAGAGTCTATGCATCACAGCTAACAACCTGAATGACATCACATGACACTTTATTCTTTCTCTTTGATGAGGTTTAAGTCCCTGAGAGTACAGCTTTCTATGAATATGTTTGTAGATAAGTGTTGTATAGCTCAGACTCTCAGCTTTAAAGACAAAATAAAAGCACTACTGGCCATGAAAAACAATGTTCCAGTGCTATGCATATAGCATGGGTATAATACAGTAATATGATGAGAGTGGTGAATATGAACCAACTTAAAATATGGAATGGCATATCATTTTAAATAACACATAAAACAGACCATAATATGTCAATATAAACTGTACACACGCACAACATAACAGAAAAGCACATCAGCAAACACACAGACTTGTACGTCTTTATGCTTTCTTTAGCCTCTCAACCTGTTTTTTGTTACATGGAAGACCTTATTAAAGGTTATTCTAAAAAGCCTTCTTTCTAAACCATCCATCAAGTCAAAATAATAAAGGCCCAGTGAGGGGGAAAACAATGTGCTAAAGAAATTAATCAAGTCTGCATTTGTTTTTATGAGTGACTTGTCCTTTCCATAACGAGTCCTGGTTGCTGGCCATTAGAAAATCATCTTAACATGTTTAACCACTAAGACAATAAGCCATACACATCAAACACAGTAATGGGGTAAAACAACATGATTAACACAAGTTTCATGTTGTAAAAAAGTGGAGTTGCATCATAGTTTGCTGAGGAGCTAAACCTTCAGCAAAGAAAGAATGCAGTATATTTTAGCAGGCCCAGCTTTAGTACAAAATATAGGGCCACTGTTTGCTGTGTTGTTTTTTCTCCCAGACAAACATGTTGTTCTCGGTGGGGAGCTGAGTATGCCAGATTGTGGTCTTTGTATGACTGCCTACAAAAAGGCAGCTCTGCTAGTAAAAAGTGTCTGTCTGCACAAGTCTTTCTCCAAACTTCAACCCTTTCTCTCTTTCTTTCTCAATCTGTCTTACAATCACTGTGTCCCTCAGTAAATCTTTCAGAACTCTGAATCTTTCATGTAGTTTGTGTAAAGATTCTCACTCTCTCTGTGATTACATAAGAAACTATTCCACCGTGTTTCTTTATAAAGCACATGCTATATCCCTAACCTTAACCGTAACCTTATGTCAAACCTAAACAGATGTAATTAAAAGGTTTTTTATATGCTCTCAAAACCCAGCCAGCCTGCCTGCCTGCCTGCCACAATACTGTGGTTTCGTCAGACCGGTTTCCCTCCCAGCGGTAAGGATGGGAGAGAAAAGACTCTACAGTTACAGTTGTTTAACTAAAATATAACATTTGTTTAATCTGCATCATGGGACAATATAACAACATGGTTAATTAAATAAGGAAAACAAATCTGTTTTGTTAATTATGCTTAAACTAAAAATGTCTTATCTGGCATGCTGTGTATGTGTGAAATCCGTGAATAAATAAAGTTTCGGTATAAATACATTGCATATGAAAACTAAAACAGAAACCTAATATTTCACTTTTTGAAATGTATAACACAATAAAGTCGTTTTGGTGGCAAAGCATGGGGGCAACACTAGAATACTGATGTTGAAACGATAAAGTGCTTTGTTCAATAAAAATCATTGGACAACCTCTTTGCTTCTAGATAAGAAGCAAACGTTGTAGCACTACTACACTTGTCTAAAACAATGATTTTGTTAAAGTCAAAGCAATTATAAAATACCTAATTAACTTTAAAAGAAAACTACCCAAGATGAATTTTAGGCCACTGTTGAAATGTAGTGAGGTTCTTGAAGGACATACAGTAATGTTAAGAGCACCAATATTGAAGTAATGTAAAGGCACAAGAGTTACAACATTCAATACATTTGTTCTACATTGGATATGAGTTTTAACAACTGCACTGCCTTCTAAATAGTTTTTAAATAGTTTTTCACACCAAACACCTTGAATAACTAGCTAAAGTCATCCACATTCACACAATTCTGTATAGTTTGAATCATTATCCAGTATTTTCTTACTTAACTAGAGTAAAATACATGTCGACCTGTTTGGCACCTTTTCCACACTTGTTGACAATGGTTGCTGCTGTGATATGATGCGCTTATGAATATTTTCTCCACATCTGCCAAGGAGGTGAACAGCCGCCATGTTGTGTGTACACTGTTATTGTGGGTCCTGAAGTCCCAAGGGCCTAGGGCCATCGACCTCTGCCCACCCTGAGTAGACTCTGGGCCCCACTGGAAGGCCTCTGCTCCGGGCCCCTGGGACGGCTACACAAAGTTGTTGGTGATTTGCTTCTGGTGCTCAAACAGGTCCTCAATCTCTGCGCTGTATGCATCGCCTTAAAAAGGGAAAAGGATATAACTTTCAGTGACCGAGGAGGGGTGGAATCAGGATGAAAAAACAAAAGAGGAAAAGGCTTTTCTGTGCTCACCTGCATGACATCCATACATGTACACTCTCTGGCCATCGTATTTGCACCGACATCTCATGACATTGTTCATAAAGTCAGACTCAGCCATGTCCATTGCAGGGTTCACTTCCACCTGCAAAACAATACCATCATACACAACCTCTGTTAAAAACGACACAATATCACATTATTTCTGACCTTATGACTTGCAGCTGCATACTTCATCATCACCACAAACATTTATTAGAAAACAGGGAGAATTTATGACTTTGTTGTTCTCACTTTTATCTAATACTGTAACCGGAGCTGGCCAGGCACATGGTCAAACAAATAATATGTCCCCTCTCGATACACACTGAGAAAGCCATTTGACATAAAGAGCAGTTGGATGTTAAATTGTAAGAGGGCCTGTTATTAAACAGCACTCTCGGCCGGTATTGTTTTTATAGTCAATCCCTTTTTCATCTATAAAAAGCTGGATGACTTTTCCATATAGTATTCCTATTTGGAGATATAAATACACTTTGCATACACTTCTTTCTCATTGACTTAACGTTGAATGAGTGTGCTTGGTAGCCTTCAGCTAAGCATATGCACTGAATGACATCTGGCATGAAACACTTGCTTTTACCGTGCGTAATGCTAATTACAGAATACACTGGTAGATGTTTAAGGGTAGCTCATCATAAAACACTTTATAACTTGAATGAAAACACGTAACAAAGAAACTTCTGCCCACAAAACACATAAGAAGCTGCATTAGAGGTTATGCAACTTTACAGCTGAAGTTCATGGAATGCGGTTGCTACTCGCACCAACACAGGTATGCAATAATGACTGAATTTGCCTGAAATTAAAGTGTGCTGCAATAGAGTAGTTATGCACAAGCATGTTTATATGTCTGAGTGCTGGCATACACTGTACTAACAGTGTGTCATTTGCAGAGCAGCTCCATAACTGCTGATACAACCATTCTCTTAATCTGGTCTGGTGATAATACTGTGAAGCCATTTACTCTAATAGCGGCTCTGTAAACTGCTACACCCACTTTAAGTACATGTTACAAACAGCTACAGGGAGAACCAACGCAAACTAAACTAAAAAAGGCAAACAACTTTTAAAAGTAAGTGAATGCACAAATGCTGTCTCTTAATTTTTCAGGGTAAATGACAGTGTAGGACCAGAGTGTACGAGGCTTTTGAAGAGGGCCCGTTCAGGGGCAGAATGTGTGGCTCAGTGAGAAAGTGGCAATAAAAATAAAAACAGAGCAGGAGGAATTCCTTGGTGGCAAATTAGCCGTTCCTAATGGAAGGGGGGACTAGCTGCTGTTTGACTAAAGGGAGGCAATAGTTAATTTGAGTAATTGGTGAGTTTCATTGGCAATGGGAGGTTCAAGGTTAGGCCTGCTGTATCTTTCTGTAGAGCCCAGGTTCAGAAAAGTCAGGCATTACCTGCACTTAACTGGACACATTTAAGAACGCAGTAGAGAGATTGACATGCAGTAAAATATATATTTATTTTTTCAATTCTGCAGTAATGGTGAAGAACTACTATAACTACCCGCTTGGCTTACTTTGCTCTTTTTTTCTCTCCTGTTCTTCAGTTACATTTGGCACATGTACTCTCAGTGCTTTTTCTCCTCAAATGACCTTGACCTTTTCGCTTTCAGTAGTTCTTCCAATTTTGTTCTTACATTTCTCTCAATTCCATTTCTGTCCTCTATCATTCATTCCTTCTTTACGCCTCCACATTGCGCTGCAGCATGTATGACTTTATAATTATACACTGCTCAACATGCTTAAAATACATCCAGTCAGCACATGCGTCTATACATATGCTTGTCACGTCTTTTGCGAGTACATTAAAAAAATCTGTCTTTAATAGAGAGTAGAGGAGTGTAATTACAAAGATTGAGAGTGACCTTTTAGACACACTTGGTGACAGCAGTAATTATCAGACAGTGAGTTGCACGGCAACCAATTTGCCACAGCTGGGAGGTAATTGGCAGCATGAGATCTGAGGACTGCTGCGTACATGGTGGGACCCGTGGTCTAAACTGGAAATGGAGGATAATGGTCCTTGATGTGTTTTATTTTTGTAGCCACAATGACTTGAGTGTTTAACCTGGGTCAGAATAATGAAAGACGGAGGAATGGTTGAGGGGAAGATTATGAAGTGAGTGTTCGAAGGGTTTTACTGGAATAGACAGAAACACAAACCATTAAATGAGGAAGTCCACATATGATCCTGTAATACCTTTTTTTGTATTAACGAAATTAGAAACTTTAAGATACATTGATTACCTTAAATGTAAACTTAACTTTGTCCCTTAATGACAAACGTAAGGGTAACGTTGCCAGGTCATGGTTTTACGGGGGTTTATGTGTTGGACTATTTCTTGGCTGGGTGTAGTCGGAGTCTTACAAAGTTGCCATGTAACCAATAGAGATTCCAGACTCGTTTCCGCACCTAAGCAGCCAAGAATGTGTTGTAGCTAAGCTAAGCTAACTGGCTTCTGGTAGTAGTTTCATATTTACCATACAGACATAAGTGGCACAGATTTTCCCAGGTAACTCTTGGCAAAAGAGCATGATGAGCATACTTCCAAAATGGTAGAACTATGATGGTGTTTGATGTATGTGATATGAGAAAATGTACCCAAACTGCAAGAGGGGATGTTAAATATAAAATGACTTCTGACCTGGAAGATGTAGTCTCCTGGCCGTACATCCGTCACATCAATCCACTGACAGTCGATATCATGGCGATATGTATCCCAACAGCCCACAGAGATACCCTGATCCCCCATGTTATAGCAGGAGAAGCGCTTCTGGACTCCTGAAACATTCACACACACACACACACCCACAACATTATTAATCACAACAACAAAGCTCATTTACTGCTTGGCATTCCCTGTTATCTTTAAGAGTCTTTAGCTTCTTGAGTTGCAGCAGTCTACATATGAACTCCGCTTTCTCATACGAGCTATTTCATCCATGATATAACAAGTAAATGGAGAGTGAACAAACAACAACAGCAGCGATCTAACACATTAACCACAAAGTAAAAATCTAAATAGCTGCAGCTGAAATATTGATATTAATTTCCTGTCACTAATGGGAAACAGTGTTTTAGTGGGAGTCATGAATAGTGAATATTACCCTCAGGGCAATACGTGTCCTCCAGACAGAAACTGGCCTTGTGTCCCTCTGCGATCCTCGTGCCATTCAGAGTAAGCAGGTCGTAATGCGTGAACACCTCGATACTGTGGTAGTGCCTGGGACGACAGAAGGGGAAACTCCAGGTGAGAGTGTGTATATGTGTGTGTGTGTCTGTTAGTGTATGAGTGTGTGCATTTACGCTAGGTGAACACTGGCTCCCTTTGGCTTGTATCCTAATGACCTCACTGCTCGAACATGAGCGTGGGTGTCACCGTAACACCTCTCACAGAAGCTTGTTTTAGTGCCGGCTTGGTTGAACTGTTTACTCGTTCTGAGTGAATGGAGGGCTTTGAAACACCCGTTCATAGCTCTGATGTGTTGTTGTTACAAACTGAAATGGACTTGACCGTGCGTGGGCTGCCCTGTCCTCTGTACTGTATTACATCCGACCTGTGTGACTGGATTGGTTCAGCAGTCATTTCCACAGACACGTGCTGCAGGGAGGCTAATCAATCCAGAGGGATGACACACTGTTTCAGGCCACCCATAACCTACTGGGACACATGTCACACAGCCAACACTGAGGGCTTCAAATGGCCCCTTCTTCTCTCATGACGACAGGCCTGAAGGTGCTTTCGTCACCTGACAAGAAACTAACTTACAGAGGTGAGGAAACTGAGAAGTAGAGTGGAATTTGTTACAAGTAGACCTGAGGACAATATTTAGTCTATGTAGAGCTAATGTACAAATTGCTGCTGTGGACCGTTGACAGACAAAGGCTCTTTTGTTGTAATGCCCCGTGTTGCACGCTACCCACAGCCCCCCTGTCAAACCATACGCACACTGGCATAGACATCACACTTCAGCATGTTTTTTTTCCTGGTAGCAATTGAGTGCAATTAAATTAAATATAACCCAAATTACTCAACAAGGAGGGAGCTATTTTCCTTAATGCACGTAAAAGCAATTTTCTATGAGGAACAGGTGTTTGTCCGAATATTTTTTTAAAACCTCTTAAAACCACAGCTCACCTGAATCCGAGACACTAAACCACAGTTTTCCCCAAAAAAACACTTAGAATTACCACAGGGGCAACCACAACATCCCACTTATAGTAAGTATTTAAACAGTTCTTTCCATTGCAACAACCTAAGCGATGTTACTCCTCCCTAAACTCCTGAAAGATGCTATACCTGTGACACTGGTGCCATGTCCAGCTCTCTCTTGTTGCTTTGGGTCTGAAATCGGACCGACCCATGTTCATGATGCGGGAGGAGAACCGCAACAGGCGGCGGTGGCCATAAGGCCAGTTCATCCTGGCAGCGGACGAGGACAGACAGTTCTCCTCATTGGCACAGGTCAGCAGGTGGAGGGGTCGGTCTTCCAGGTAGGCTGTCTCCTGGACCAGCTGGGCATCCAGAACAAGGTCAGGCGCCGCTGAAGAAGGTCAGATGGGAGAGGTTATGTTAGGATTCAAACTGATTTAGAATGATTGGAGAAGATGTGAGCTACAAAGAAGGCTGTACTTACTGTCTGAACAGCTGACCCCAGCGGCCTTCGTCCCACCTCCTCGAGGACAGTGGAGATTGTTGTTGCGCCGGCACTGTTGAATTGAATGCTCCGTGCCCACACAGTGAGTTCCACTGAGAATCAAATCACTGGCATTCGAGTGACCGGGCCGGTACCAGGTATCCTGTAAAAGGAAGGGGGCGGGGTCAAAGGACAAAGCAAACCTGTCAGGTTTTCTATCAATAAGTAGGATCATAGCACTGTCCATCACAGTAAATACAGGGGCTGTGACTATGGATTGGCCTCTCACCCATTCGTTGTTTTTTCATCAATAACCCAGACACCGCAGATGGGATTTTGACAAATCTTGGACGAATGATGCCTCTTAACACTAATCTGGCTTTTTTTTTAAAACATACTAATTGGTTTAGAAGTTACATTTTTTGTTCATTCAGGACAACATGCCCATTATTTTAGAGACTTCGACAAAAGTTTTTCAAGATTACGAATAAAGGGCAGCACTTCAGCCAGAGAACAAAATGACATGATTGTTAACACCTTATGGATGTAATTGGTCAGGAAGGTTGTTACCTGATGAGCACTGGCAGCGAAACCCAGGCCGAGCTGTCTGCATGTCACCATGGCTTCATTGATGCCCCAGTTCTCACTACAGACAGAGCCCCAACGCTTACGACCCCCAACATCCATTAACACCTCAACGCGGCCTTCTGATGGGACTCTGCCACCAACAACTCGCACCTGGAAATGAAAGGGATTCAGTTGTTAGTGTGCAATCAGTGAAAGCTCATACATTTTTGTCTGGTTTTAGAGTTGTTTTTATACCGTGTTCTCCATTCCGGTCTTAGGGATGTTACAGCGTACTGAGGCATCCTGGGTGTGTTTGAATGTCCACGGTTGAACTTCCTGGAAGTAGCAGTCTAGGATGGAGCGCTCACTCCCCATACACTGTACACTGTTCAAATGGATAGGTCCGGTACCTGAAGAGGGAGGAGGACATAAGGTAGATTTAAAGACTATGCTGACAAAAATAAGGCAGCAATATATGGGAGCCAGAGGAGCATAGACATAGCTGAAGGGCAGTATTTATCGTGCACTGTTTGGGGCCAGCAAACGCAGACACAGAGGCATTACCAGACTTTATCACGAAAAGGAGCTCACACACATTCAATGCTCTTGATTCTTTTCAAGTAATTATGCTTTGCTATTTTCCAACAAAACAACAACGATAAGTTCCTATCTGTCGTGACAAAATGCTTTTCTGGCCAAGCGTTGGCAACACCACAAACATCTGCTTTAGGGATCTGCCCCACCTCATTACCACTATTCTGTTGCTTTTGGCACAACAACAATAACATTGTGTGTAGTCCACCACCCTGGGTGAACAAACAAGAGCAACTCTGTGGGTACAAAATAAAAGACTATCACAGTATCTGTTTATGGTTTTAAACCAGATGATCTCTAAATAACATAGAAGATGTTGGGAATAAATCTTAAGATAAAGATTTTGTGAAAACAAACAGCTGCCGCCACAATGACTGCCGTGTGTGAAAACACAGAGCAAACACTGGCAACAGTGTTTTCTTAAAACAAAAGACACAAACGGCAAACTTTGAAATGAGGCAGCATTGAAATAAACACAACCAAAACCACTAAAACCGGGGGGAAAAGAGATAAACCAAGAAAGAAGGGCGTGAAGAAAGATAACTTGAATGGTATGGAGCAGATTGCAGGCTAACCCCCTCCATCTGTCTCTGTGTTGGTTTTAGTAGATTGTAGGCCTGCTTCCACACTGGTCGCACTGCGTGGGTTCAGACTTATGAAAGGAAGCATCAAAACCACTTCCGCCTCTATCTACAGTGTAAAGGCCACAAACTAGATCCAAAGACAAACATGGGGCCCGGACGAGGGATCCTCAAAATGAACAGTGACACGCTGTATTTAAACCTTAGTTTGGGAAATCCACAAAAACCAAAAATAAATTTCAAGAAACTGGCCGCACAAACTTTACATGCAGAAGTATACACAGGCAGTCAGGTTGTTTTACTTCCTTTTGTAATATAGTACTCTAAATGTACAGTATATGGACTTCCCAGGCAAAATTACACGGTAACGTTACAATGTTGGTCAAGAAAGAAAATAGAAACATTTTTCCTGTAATTTAACTTACTGATGGTGATAATACATGTAATGATGATGGGAGTTAGATGGTTAGCAGATGGAGTTTTAACAGAGCTTAGAATATTTTCTTCACTTTCATTCTGCCGGACATCAATTCAACAAATGCTCAAATCAAATTCAACATAAAACGGCAAGGATCGACAGAAGATACAGCTATGAGAGCAGAATTCAGGAATGATATAAATGTGGAGGCTTAAATGTAGTATTTAAAATAAACAGGTTGATCTTGATTACCATATAATAAGAATTGGCATTGGATAGATTAGAAAACATACTTGGAAACATGGAAACACAGTCAATTTGGTCAGATTCTTTTTCAGAATAGCTTAAATAGTTGGTTAGCGGTTACAAGGGAAACCCTGTTCTTCACCTCTCTGAAATTATATTCTGTTTTAGGCACGTTAATGTAGTGCGTGTAGTGTTTCTTTTCATGGAACATCTCTTTCTCTGCGTTTCTTTGCCAATTGCTAAAATAATGTTTCTAAATAGATCTGACTGACTATGCGTTTTTAGATGCTAAAAGCCAAGAACCATCAACATATGTTTAAGCTTGGTTGCAAATCATAAGGTATTATAATTATATAAATTATAATTATGTAAATTAAATTACAACTTTACTCATCTCAGAGGGGGATGTTCTGTGCGGTGTGAAATAGAAAGTGGTACAACCAGTCTGATTAGTGAGACCACATTGAAGCCAATCTCTGACTGGCCGACCTCTCTCTCAAGCCAAACAGCCAGTCGACCACAACCTTTATGATCATAATAAATTATCCAATACTCTCCTTTAGCGTCTTCGTTTTCAATTTCTCTCACGTGCTGAAATAAAGCATGTTTATTTGAATGTATTTAGAGTTATGTGAAGTATAAACGTTTGACACAAAATGTTTATGCTCTATCAGAAAGGATGGTTTAAAGAGAAATTAACTGTATGCAAAACTTTTACAAAACCACATTTGATATCACTCTTTCAGAGAGTCTCTCTCAGAAAGGGTTTGTTCTATCAAAGAGTCTATATTAGGCCTCAACGACATATACCCCTGTGTTTATGTAGCCTTCAAGCACATGGAAAATTAGTAAAATGTCTAACAGGCTGCATGTTATAGAAAGGAAGCTATGAGAGCACTTTGAAATCCAATCGTTGTGCATGGCAGTGTATATGTAGGACAGACAGACAGATGGAAAGGGAGAGTACTTTGCTGTACGTGTGTGAATGCACGTGTGTGTGGGCTTCAGAGAGGAGAGTATGTACCTGAAAGTGTGTTTATGGGGTCTATTTTAATTTTGCAAGCACAACAACCAACGGTTACTCTTAGTGCAAAGACTGTGTTGCCTTCTCAAAGCACTCCTTCTATTTTGGTTCATGTATGTGCAGCGGTGGAGGGCTGTGTGATGGCGAATGATCACAGGGTCCGTCATGTCCCAGGTATCATCGCTCCAACAGCTGAACCTATAACAGTGTGTAGAGGTGTGCTTGGTTATTTTGTAGAGGCCTGGTGTCATTTGAATGTAATTTAATCAAGGTAAACACAGTGCACTCTGTGTAATGGTACTCTGCTCTGGCACAGCACTTCTCAATTTGGACTTATTAGCATAGTTGTCCTAATGCCTTCAGATAAATGCAAGAATTGTATTAAGTTTAGAAGCTTTTTCATACAGTTTAGATTAATGGGAGGGGGGGGATTTACTGGCGTTCTACCTTTTACCCACGCAAAACCTTATTTTTGACTGCAGATTTGAATGCATCTACTGGTCGGAGAGTGTTTGAAACTACTATTGTATTCTATTTTTTGTGCATTTGCACTTACATTTTGTTTGATGTTGAAAAAATCTGGCAGCTGAGTGATGTTATATGTGTAAAATATTCCAACAATGTCCCAAGAATTTCTTAGTTAGGACCTTGCACTGGGCCTTACAATACCACACAAAGGACATAGCCAATTTCAAGTTGAAGAAAATATGAGAGAGAGAGTAAACTTGGCTTTTTAAAACCAGAACCACATCTTAATGTATGAATCTGAGACTAATTGTATTAAACACAGCCATGCAAAATACCCATGCTAGTACCTGCATATACACACATATAGCTAAATGGTTGGATCAGTGAAACATTTTTATAACTCTGCCTAAGATTTCTGGAACCAAGATGAACCTGAATTCTGGCCCAACAACTGAAAGTGTTGATTGAATCCAGACGACAAGGGGTGTGAAGCCTTTTAAAAGTATCTTCAAAGGAGCCAACGTAACCAGATTTAAGTTCTGTCAGGCTCATCAAAAAGAAAAGTACCGTAGTTTAAATGACATCATCTACAGAAAACCCAATTGAAGAGGTTTGAAGGTAACAGGGAGTTCTTCAAAAATACTCTACTGTATGTATGATTAACTGAACAGCTAAACCAGCAGACTGTCGTCCCACATTTCATCTTGATCAGCTTGATTAGAGACTACACCCCAGACTGAGGCATGGAGAAACCGTTCTCACATCTCGTAAGGGTGGGGACACCACTGGCGCAGCTGGATAGAGACTGAATCCGTGCATCACCAAAGCCGTAAAATTGAAAATGAAGGGAAAAGACCACAGCACCTCAGTGAGTAAATGAAAAGATTGCTTGAAGCTAGCAAGATTATGTCTGTGGCTAACGTTACCAAATGCCAACGTAAACATCCATGGCTTATAGTATTACATTTTCTGTGTGAAAGTATGTGTGTGTGAGTGGTGTTTGGGCAGCTGTTAGCCCTGGCACAGGACTTGTTTAATCACAGCTGGAGATACTGCAATCAACACGTTTTGCAGCTTCAAGAGGTAACATACAGACTCAGACAGACGGGCAAACACTCATGCCCATGCATTATCTTATCAGTCAGCGCAGACGGGTGCGGCGTCTAAGATAAGCAAAAGACTGGAAAAGTCTCCCTGTCTTCTCTGGAATACCATGACGCGTGATAAACACATTCAAACATTCAAATTGCACACTCAAAACAACTAGATTGAATCTGGGCTTCTCTAGATTTCCAGTCTCAGTTAAGTGGAAGCCTTTTTTCTGATCAGGAGCAGTTCTCTTGCTTACCTTGACCCATAAAGGCTCCATTCAGGGCATCCTTGGCAGTACCAAAGCCGAGTTCTCTGCATACCACACTGGCTGCAGGTCTGTCCCACATGTGGTCCACGATGGTCCCCCATTTTCCATCTCTTAGTACCTCCACACGACCCTCACCCAGTCTGGGGCCAGCCTTCAGACGCACCGGCTGTACAGGGCAGAAAACCGAAGAGTTTAACTTGTAACTCAGCTTAGTGCAGTTCATTAAAACACTGTGTATTCATCCCTGTATCAATCTTACCACAACTGGATAGGGGGCCTGGGGTCTTCCAGAGGAAATGCGAGCAAACTGAGGTCCTGCCACACACTTGACAACTGCATGTCTCCCGTTCTTACAAGGAGTGGGACTCCGGGCGATTGACAGCTGAGCGAGGCACTCTGACAGGGAGTTCTCAAACCCCTGACAGTGAACTTTCTCTATCCAGAATCCCTTCTTCTTTGACATGATGCTCAATCTAGAAAGAAGAAAACAGTTCTTGTAATATATTCTTAAAGCCACTGATAACGTGGTATACATCTTTAGTATTTCTCAAATACATTAAGTATGCACTAAAATAGCAATGATGAAAGTGACAGATACAAAATATTCTTAAATATTGTTTATGAAGGGTTTGACAATTAAAATATACTGAAAACTAATTTGGTTATTAGGACTGTGTGGTTTTGTTTATCAGATTTGATTGAAACTCTTAAACAGGTTTTCAAGCCTTTAAAGAAGTTCAACTTCTGACGTCTGCGAGTATATTTCAATGAGTGAGATCAAAGATAGCTATCAATCATGACAAATTGTTGTAATTGTATTACCTTGTAGAAGGATCTGAAACCTTGGTATCCCATATTTTCCTATAAAAAATACAAAGAACAATGTTAGTTTTATCAGGTCTGTATATTCCCTGAGGTTAGTAACATACACACACAGACACACCACCCTGTGAGGTGACCTGGGTCACCAATTTCTCATGTGGCGGGGTAGTGACTGAACAATATACTGTAGCATCTGTTGTTTGTTTTATATGTAACCTGGCCACACAGGAGGGATTTCTGCCACAGTTAGTAGCGGCACAAACAGTTACCGACTTACTAGAAAAGTATTCTTACTGAGGTACATGGTTTTGACCAAAGTAGTTACAGCTCAGACTTGATCAAAAGATGAATCATACAGTTCTATGTATATCTTCCATGTATAAAACCGGAATGAGCTCTGCTTGCGGCTTTGTGGTGATTGTAAAGTTATACATACATTAATGCAGATTACTGATATAGTTTAAGGAAGAAATGCAATGTTCTTGTTCTCCTCCAGTAACTTTGATTCCTGTCTATCTGTTTTGCTTTATAGGTTTAGTAAGATATGTTTCCATCTGGAATGTGGTTTACTGTTTTTATGTTTAAAGTTAGGCAACAGTCTTTTCTTGTCATCAACATACGGTTAAGTGTTCAACAGGAATGTGTTGCTGGGTGTGTTTTATCTTAATTACCCACCTTTACGTTACATTAAATGCACTTTCCTTTTAAACCAACATAGACACTTTGAATACAAGTCTTTAGCATTCCGTGTTGCAATAAAACAGAGATGTGTACATAACTACAGGAGTTACTGTAGGAACTATAAAAGGATTTTTTTTTTTCAAACACAAGATATTTTTAACTTAGTTGTTAACCTCCAAAGCCACACGCAGTCCAAACAATCATGACATTGAACATCAGTAATGTACAACATTTCTGGGAAAACAGGGTTTGACCAAGCACGATATACAAACAAAAACTCTGGCAGTGCGCTGCATGTCAGAGAAATGACAGAACCAAGTAGAGACTCATGAACCAAGTATGCTGGCTGACTCGGGAGAGCGGTGGAGAGGAAAGCCTTCTGTTCTGCTGGCAGACACGCAGAGCAGACATGCCACACAGACCATGCCAGGACATCCTCTAACCACTGCAAAGTGCATGCACCATCACATCAATTACTTTAAAATACTCATACACACGCTACAGCCTGCTGATATTAGAAAGAGACTATATCGTCCATTCTGGTGGTGCGATTGGCAAACAAAATAATGTTCATTATACATTAGGTAATTAAGAGACTAACATTGTTATATACATTGTTTATTTTATAAGATAATCTGACCATCTAAAAGATTTAGGGTCGAGTGTCTCGTTATCAGTTTACAACCCACTTTGCTAAAATGTTAACACTTACAACTACAGTAGCATTAATCAGAGTGAGCTGGTGAGGCGTAGCTTCATTAAAACACCACATATTTTTTAAGTGTAATCTCTTTAGAGCTGTATATTAGCATGGCATCACAGGTGTGGGAGGCTAAATTAGTTTCTACTTTGTGGCTACTGACACAGCACTTCATTAAAAATACTCCAATGCTGGTTTTAATGGCATTAACTTATATAGAAACAAACATGACCAAGGATATTTGTATAAACGGACAGGTAGATAAATATTTGAATTTCTGACAAGAACTCCGGAGATTCCCAAAAATGTTAAGCAAAAAACCTCAAAAACAAACTGAGGATGCTCGAATAAAGAGAAGCATTGTCTTTGAAACGATGTTATGTTGAAGGTTGTGTGAAGTCATGGAATGCTGACAACCTGTTTCTTCAGGCTGTAAGTAGTCAATGGGGCAGAAGAGACCAAAAATGTTAGCATTCTAAAAAATATGCAAACTTCAATTTTAGCAATCATTTATCAAAATGAGGTGTTTTGCAAATTACAGATGCCATTTTAAAACAACACTCATTAAATGGTCGTTTCTCAGGCCCATTTAGAGCACAGAGTGCAGCTCTGAGTTAAGCTTACATTATGAAGTGAACATCTGTAAATGAAATCTCAACTGCTTGAAAAGCATTGCTACCTTTCCAATATATATCAAACATTTGACTTGATGAGGCAGAAACTCCACTATTTGTAAAACACATTCAGTGCTCTGAATAAAGCCGCTTGTGCGTACAGGAGACCTGCTCTAATTGGCGACTGACACATTGTATAGAATTTAACACTTGTTCTTTACAGTCTCTTGAATTACACTTGTAAAATATCTTAAATGTGTCTATCATGTGGCTCTGCAGTAACATCGGGTATAGAGAGTTAGGACCATGAACACACACAGACATACTCCCTTGAGGCAACATGTCTGTGACATGTTTGTGACCTCACCACAGACCAATCAGCTAACCACTTTCCCTCTTAAGAAACCAACAGGACTACTACACAGGATTTAAACGATGTCTTCAGGTCTTTCATTTCACTGAATTAAGAACTGTTTGTAAATGCTGAATTTCATCCAATAAAATAAATATGTTTTAAATTGTGAAATAATAGTTAGCATGAGCAGTATGACAGCATTTCTCTACATGGTGTGTGCTGATGAAATGAACAGGTGGACTCAGTTTTAAGGTTTTTTCTACCTACATATCATTCATCACCTTAAAGCCACTAAGCAGTGTTAAAAACACCATTTTAATAATTTAGGGGAACTGTTGAGCTGTTTTTCATGCTGCATAAATAGTATCTTAATGCAGCATAAAAACTAGAAAAACTCTTAGGTGGTCCGGACATTTCTATCAGAGTAAAATCCTTAATTAATGTATAATCCTTTGGTTTAATAATTTCTTTATATCTTACTATTTATTGAAGTGAAATTTGAAGCGTTGACCATTTGATTCCCTATACTTTAAGTACTAAAATATATTACCATTAAACCTTGGGTTCATAATGCATATTCAGCTCATAATAAGCATCTGACAGTGGACCTAACAATCACCAACATCTAAATTAAAAGGCCAAGATCAAACATATTTTATATTGTTTAGAGATCACAGTTGTTAAAATCAAATATTAGATTTTATTATGAAATTAAGTTTGAAAAGGTTCTTGCATTTCAAATCATAATTCCATATTTACATGCAGCCAGAAGCAGCTGTGAAAAATCACAATCCTTCAACTCAGTTTTGAAAGCCAGCTTCCAGTCTGTTCACAAAATAACAACTGGCATGCACGCATTCATAAATTAAAAGATGGTTAAATAAATGAGAGAGAAGGTCACTGAGGAAGATCACACAGACATCAGACAGGAAAGCCAGACTCGGTCCCTCAAAATGTCACAGAAAAGCCTGAAAATGATACCCTCATCAAGAACATTTCAGCTGAAACATAATTAAAAATAAAATGCAGGTTTAGTCCCCAAATCACTATGGTGACAGAGGAAGACAGACAGCCGCTGACACAGCGGGCCGTGCTGCAAACTGCAGCTGTAATTGAACATATTTCACACGAGCAAGCGAAAATCTGGCTCGTCTGACTGCTGCTCCTGTGCTTTTTCTCAATCTCCTCTTTCTCTTGTTACTCTCTTCCTCCTCAATCGCCAACTATGTCTTACTCTCTCTCACACACAGCTATAATTGGGGGTGTTTTTTTTTCACCCTCAGCAGAAACCCCGGAGAGCCTTGGTCCTGACCAACCTGTAATTACAGCATCTTCAGAGTCTCATCCAAGAGACACAGCGAGCCGAGAGACATGGCATGGCCCGGGTTTCTAAGAATGGCCTGAGAGACTTGGAGCAAGGTGGAGAAACTGGGGGGGTGTGTCACTGGCTACATTTGGTCAAACCATGCAATACAATCCTAAACTTTCCTGCTGCTATTTAAGTCGAAGATGTTACATGGAAACTGAACATGAAAGAGCCTAACACCCAATTGTTTCCCCATGACTCCTCTTACATTTTGTACAGTAATTATGGTTACAGTGGCAATTTAGTCAGAGGGCAATCCTTACAATTACCCAAAGTAAATGCTGAGACGGCATTACCTGTATATCAACAATTTTGTTCTGGTTATAACTGTTTCTTGTAAGTAAACATCCAAATACAATAACAACGATAAGGTTTCACCCTGAAAACCAAATATTGCAAAAGTGTTTAACTGTTGCAAAAATAACACATTACTGGCAGCTAAGACATTGAGGCATATGTACACTTTGTGGTCAAAAACACATTTTGGGAGAGAACAAACAAAGTACAGGTACAGATTTAGAAACAAACACATCACTGAGGCTACAGAAAAACACCAGGTCATACCCAGGACAGGTCGACCAACCTGTATCAAGTCCCAACCGCTTTCATGCCAGAGCCTTAGAATTTACACGCACAATAAAAAAAAATCAACATAATGGCGTCCACCAAAACCTTACACTGTGCATTTAGAAGCAGATATGTTGGATAAGCAGTATAGTACATTTTGTTGTGGCTTAGGTCAGAGCCTTAAATAGCTCATGGAGTGCTATTGTTTAAGTTTCTTTCTCTTGACCTCAGAGGGAGACTTAAAAACAACACCCTGGAACCGCCACTGAGCAGATTCCCTGCAGGCTTCAGTCCAAGCCCTTCAAGCTACAGCAGCTTCGTCCTCCTCTGTCATATCTCTTTTCTTGGTGAGCAGCCAAATCTCTTATGTGGCAGCGATACAAATATAACCATCTAATTCCTCACTCAACTCCTACTTGTTCTTCTCATCTCCCATGCTTTGCATTAAGTGGCAAATCTTTACTGCGATGGGAAATCGAACTGAGGCATAAAAAGCATCACACCTGCAATGCGGGGAAACTCTAATAAATGATCATGTACAGAGACACGGCCAGGCTGTTTGACGACAGCTCATTCTGAGGACCTTTTATTACTGGAGATATGATGCCTGATGATGCCTTTTTCCAACAATAGAATCCAGTTAAAGCATCACTGTGTTCCCAATAAAAGAGTTAGGAGGACATAGCTTAATTCAAGGGCAATGCAGAACAACTTTCAGTGAGTGTGTGTGCTCCAATATAATAGGTATGTTGGGAAAGTCAACAAACGTTAAAATAGTCTATATAACAATTGAGTTACCGCATCAACAGTTACAGCTTTAGTAGGAAGAGGAATCTTGCACATACATTACAGAGCAGATGTTGTGGTCGGTCCAATGTTGATTCAGAATAGGCTTGGCCAAGAGAGGAAATGAATAGCTAAACTATGAATCACCTAGCCGGTAGCTCTCCAGGAACTATATCCAACCGGGTCCCCCTTCCACTGACAACGGCAATTAGTCAGTGACTATTTATTCTTAAAAAAGTAATGTCGTAATACTCTGTGTGGTCCTCCTGTGCTTAAAGAAAACTTGTAGCTGGAACCAGTAGTTGGTTATCTTAGCTTAGCATAAAGACTGCAAACGAGGAGCTAGCCTGGCTCCATCCAAAGGTTTAAAAAAGATTGGACAAAACCACCTGTAAATGTTGTGCTTTTTTAACAGTTTAAAACCCCTGCCCTAGCACACATAGATACACACACACAAACTGGCATCCTGTCACACTTGCTGTTAAAGTGGGATGTAAAAGTGAAGAGATGCATGGCTGACTCAAGCCTGCAGAGGCTGCCCTGTCAATAAGACAAGTCGCCTCACAAAGACCCTCATCCTGCTCTCCAATAGCCACCTCTGTCCCACACATGGTATTGATGGGACAGTTAAAGCACAATCAGCAGTGATATTACACCTCAGCATGGGAATCTAAAAGTTAGAGTGGGGCTGTTTGTCTGAGAGCTGCAAGCTGAAGATAGCATCAGGGAGAGAGTGAGAGAGGTGAGCATAGGTGCTTTGCCTAGAGAGAGGTGCAGAGAAAGGGCAGAAAAGAGGGGACAGAGATTCCTTCATCATCATCTAGGCTGAGGAAGGGAGGGGGGAGTAATGGGGGACACACGGCAGAAGTGGCTGGGGGAGTAAGATAAGCCCAACAAAAGGCCTTTACTCAAAGTGGCTTTAAACAGGATGTCAGTGTTGCTTTTTTATTCTTCAGTATGAGTTTTTATTCACTTAACAATGAGAGGAATGACAAACCATGTTGTCCTTCCGAACTACAGTCAACAGCCCACTGTAATGTAATATAATAACTTGAGTTCGCAAATGTGAAATGTGTTGCTCTCGGTGCCACTAGCAGGAAAGATTAACACTCACTTGTATGTTTTGACGTTGTGCTGAGTAGCCTCTGGAAAGCCAAGCATCCCACACACAACTCGGCTGCTGTTGAGAGTCCAACCCAGGTCGCAAACCTGCCTCCATCTCCCAGCATGCTTCACTTCCACCGCACCTTCTGTGATAAGGCTCTTTCTCTTTGTAGCCATGAGAATGGGACGAAGACGGACCTCCTCGATTCGCACCTTACTAGGAACCTTGGGGAAGATGAAAATGTAATGTTACATACCTTTCTAAGATTAGCATAGACATTTCCAGAAGTAAACTCCTTTACCGGGGGGTGTCTTTGGAACCGGGGAATCTCTTGTTGTTGATGTCCGTTTCCATAATAGCCATATCCTGGATGCCTGCGGGTGACCACATTTCCCTGCCACTGAGCTGCATGGCCGCCGTTGGGCCTGCTGAAGGTGGTGTGGCCTCTACTGGCTGTCTGATCCGGCCTGCGCTCAGTGTTGCACACCACCCCCAAGTCTTCCGTGTGTTTACAGTCATTCACGCCCCAGCCGTTGTGTTTGCAGTCCTTTATGGACTTCTCTGAGCCGTCACAGCGTACATTATCCATCCATATTGGGCCTTGTGAAAATAAAAACACTTCATTACGTCATTCATAGTGACTTTCATTGATTGTTCAATAGACAAACTGTGCATTGCATCTACACAAGGGACCCAAATCAGTTCCTAAACACCTAACACTTGACTTTTACTGGCGCTGTGATTTAGGGTTGCACCTTAGCGGCGTGTTTAGCGGTGGATACACAGTATTTTACAAGGCAGGTTGCTGTAGATCCTGCCCCTTGAATCTACTCAACCTTCTCTTTAATTTGGATTTAAAAGCTGCAGTAAAGAATGTCCATAAACCACAGCAAGTGTTGCACAACTCTGGCAAGTGAATGCTATTATTATTCTAAAACAAATGCCCTATCTTGGCCCATATATTTGCTCTGCCAGCCTGCCAGGCGACCTGTAGACTCCAATCCCACAACAAGTTATCTTCGTCACTTTATGATGTTAGTTATTTTGGATGCCTTAATTGGTGGTCCTTTCATGTAGCCATGCATTTAGAGTTGTGTGGAGGAAGCACACAAGAGACAGGTTTTCAATGAACTGTTCCAATATGGCCGCCTGCTGAGTCTCAATCTAATAAATGACAATGATTATCTAATTGGCCTTTTTAAGAGCAGACATTTTTGACTCATTATTGCATGAATAGCACAGGTGTAAATAATACAACTAAGTTTAGCTTTTTTCGATTCAGTCAGTGAGTTATGCAGTCCTTTTAATATAATTATTACACCTGTGTTTTCACTGCTACCATGTCAAAGGCGGCCTATCATAGTTTGTCACTCACAAGTCAAGTCTGGCCAATGACAAAAAACTGACAATGTACTTTTTTCAGGAAAATGTCTCACTTCCAAAATTGCTAAATGGTTGTAATTTGTTACAGGAAGTGCTCTCACCGGCTCCTTCTCCATACTGTGCGCTGTGTGCCCACGTCACACCGCTCTGGAAACCCAGCTCTTTGCACACCACGTTGGCCAACTTGAGGTCCACTTCATCATCGCAGACAGTCCCCCAGGTGTTGTTGTGCAGCACCTCCACGCGCCCTTCGTGGGGTTCTCGCGCAAAGTTGCCTGCCAAACGCACCTTGGCGGCGGATGCGCGAGGAGCCCTGCGCTGATTGGACGAGCTCCGCCGAGGTTCAGCGCGAGCGGGAGAAGAGAGGGACAGCAGCAGGAGGAAGAAGCTCAAGCAGAGGGTGCGGGTCATCGTGACGGAGAGGAGGGGGTCTGCAGGTACAAAACGTTACACTACATGATTCAATGTGCTCTTCTTTTTACGCTTAATCAGACGATGTTTCAGGTTATATTCATTTGGCTTCTGTTAAATTTACCAGTGGAGTAATATACCTGGCTAGTCAATTAGGCAGTCAATTTAAAGCTATAGGCTAATTTCCCCATAATGACAAACATCTGTCATCACTTTTAGATGACATATTACATCTTGAAACTCAAACCACAGTGTATAAAGAGTAATTCCCTAACACAAGTCAAACAGTCAGCCTGTAGAAACCCCTCAGAGGCCTGGTTATTAAATGGACCAACGGTGACATCCTCTGGACAAAATAATTCAGGTAAACTAGGCCTACTATAAAGTATTCTGATACAGCCAATAAATAAAACGGGATCTCAGTCAAAGAGATAAAGCCAGACTTGTGTTGTAGTTTGTAGTAATCATCAATTTTGCCAAAACACATAAAATGACTAGGCCTACTTTTCAATCATGTCAAACATTGGCATATAATTAAAGACCAACTAACGCATTTTTGTATTGCAATTTACGTGAATAAACATCCCTGAAGGCGTACTAACAGACTGAAAGAAACACGAGACAGGTTTTAACTGGAGGCTAACAAGTGTCACAGCCAAACAAGAACGCAGCGGTGGAGACAGACACACTGAAACATTAAATCACTGCATGCCACAGAACAACACTGAGCACGAAATACACCAAATCTGCTTAAATAAATAAATATAAAGGAACGAACCATCAACAAGCAAACAGACTTTGCAGGCATGGAAACAGTAAATCATAGGGAAAACAGCAGCTTAATCCTAACACTGCACTGTTTGTCTCTGTTTATGCTTATTTCATAGGAACCACCTAGAAACAACACATTCTTCTTAATGTTTGAACATTGGCAGTTATATATATTTTATCTAACTTATTTTTTAAATAAATTAGAAAAGCTCACATTTAAGAACAGAAAAATCATCTCTACACTGCTACACCTGTTACACTTGCACACAGATAGGCTATGAATAAAAAAATAAAATAATAAACTGATAAATCAAAATAAAGTAAATAATATTCCATACCAAGATAAAATGTAAAAAGAGAAGGTAAGGTGAAAGTTCACTCACCTGGCAGGCAGCAAATGTTTGCAGTGGTGGACGTCACTGGCTAGGGGAGAGTGACTGAGTGAAGGAGTGAGTCTGCTCTCCTTAGTCTATCCTCCCTTCTGCCCTCCTTCTCTCTATATGCCTCCCTCCCTCCCTCCCTTCTCTTGCTCTTTTTCCTTCTGGGATCTCATATAGAAGTGTTAATGTAAAGGCTAAAATGTAAAGCTGGTAATTACATCGCAACCTTGACTGCATAATGCTCCAACACTTTCTAGGAAATGTAAAAATATCTGAGTAGTGAATTCCCTACACCAACATTTTAACTTATTCTGTAGTTGTTCTGCATTTGTGTAGTTGTAGGTGGAAACTTTTAAGTCTTTTGTCACATTTTAATGAATCTGGCAGGGAGTGTCTCGAAAGTCATCCGTTTCTGGATAGATGTATACATTATGAAACTTATTTTCATAATCAAATCAAATGTTTTGTCTCTGATTGGGCCTCTTTACATCTCTCTTCTCTGATAGGTTGAAGATGCTTTACACAACTGCACACGCACAGTGTTATAAAACCTTAGGGTGAACATGTGTATTATGTAACTAACAGGAAGGACTCTGGTTCAAGAATAGTTTCAAACATCAAACTCCAAGTGTCTTAAAGAAGCTCCCTATACCGCAGGGTAGATATTTCCTTGTTGAGAATGCCGCAAACCACCAACTCTAAAAAAGGCTCAGCCTCATCGTAGCTATGGCGCTCGTGACTGATGAGAATACGCCATTCCACCCCTGCCCAGGAGTGTGTTACTATAGTCTAACATATCATCATGGCATATAAAAGCATAAAGGTTTGAGCCATCAGGTCCGGAGAAAAAATGAGCGAAAAGTCCTTTTTATAGCTTTCTAGCCGGGTTCACTTCAGTGCTCCGTGCTGATCCGATTTAGATTTCCTGCATTTGTCTACTGAGGCCTTTCTACATGTTTGAAACTTGTTTATTTGTTTTTTGATCATTTTTGGATGATGTTGGACACATTTAGCTCCCTGGAAATGTTTAGCTTCAGGGTGTTGTGTTGATAAACTGTTTTCCTGTTTTCAAGTAAACCTCAGTGGGCACCTTTTTAGGCAGCATGGTGTATTCTTAGGCATCAAGAGGTAGGAAACGAAACATCAACCCAACCGTAAAAAAATTGTATGCAGAGCCCCAATGGGGTGAAAATAAAAAAAATCATATGTTACATATATGTGTATTTGTGTGCACACGTGTAAACTTTGAAGCTGTAATTGAGATGTTTGTGTGCAGAGTGATGGTGCGACTGGGTGGCAGGATGGTGGTCCCACCCTGACTGGTAAACCCGAACAGGAAGAGCAGACCCCCTATTAGCGGGGCCAAATCAGAGGGACCTGCAAGGCCGACAGGGAAGTAAAGAGAGACACAAAAAGGAAAGGAGGGTGCTAAGGTTAAAAATATAATTATCATTGATGTGTGTGACATTTTTCAATTATAACTTGTGATGCACTGTTGTATATCAGACTAATTAGACTAGACTAGACAGGTGTCCCTACGTGTGTGCCAATACTTAACAGCTCAGTGTGTGTGTGTGTGTGTGTGTGTGCGTGCGTGCGTGCGTGCGTGCGTGCGTGCGTGTGTGTGTGTGTGCTAGTGAGAGTGCATTACAGGGCTCTAGGAGGGCTCACAGGGCAGAGAGCTTTCTCTTTCTTTCTCACTGCCTCTCTCTCTCGCTCTCCACCTCTCTAATTACGCCGACCAAGCAGGCTCTGCCCTTACCCACAATCTGTGGAGGCATGAAATAAATACATGCTCTCCAACAATAAACAAGTGCCTTTTCAAAGGACAGCACCTCCTCATGCTCACCCCCACCGCTGTCTCTCTGGGCTTTTATAATGCTTTTACTTAGCATGCAGGCACATAAGGTAGAGAATACGCCACTCAGGTTTAAGGGCTGAGAATGCAGCGAGCAGTACGTAAAGGGTTGATCTAATTAGCTTTAGCATCAAAGGGCATTTTGGTCTTAACCCCAAGGTGCACTTAAATTTGACTATGAGGTGAAAATGTTATTGATTGGGTTCAATTATAACCATAAAACATGTTTAATTATAACGTAACACACACACTTTAAACCCATATTTATTGGTTGAAAATCTTTAGCAGATAACTATTATTTCCCTTTTTTAATGCATGCAATTTTACATTCACTTTTCCCTAGTCAGGGGAATTCAATAAAAAGGACAACATTAAAGCAGTAGAGGCCAAGATATCCTGATTTGAACTTAATTGCATCGCTCATTACACCAGCCCAGCCTCTTTTGTGACACATTCCTTTTCTTATTGGGTTATTTTAAACTTTGGAAAGCTGTATATTACAGTTTTTGAATAAACTTGCTGTAAGGAGTTTGCCCCTCTAATTGTGCAGCATTGTGGTGTTCTCACACTTGCATACATATTTGCAGGTGGCATAAGGCTTTAGTTACTCTCTCTTCAAAATATAATCTGTGGGATAATGGTTGCTTTTCCCACACATTCTCAGTCATGTCTCCATTTCCCACTGGTTTTAGTGGTTACAGATTCTCTAATGCAACTTTCATGCTGGCCGGGTGATGACAGGGTTAGCATATTCCCCCCTACACCAGCCTGGACTGCTTTGATTTACTACTGCAGGGTTTTCTGCATCAGGAATGAGTTAGAGCCACAATTTGGTTCCTAGAGATAAAAAAAGATGAATGTGTATGCATCGTATAGGCTTGTTAAGTTGGCGACATATTTCAGTGTAAAACTTTCATGTACAACACTGCCGCCTTGTGGAATGCAGGAAAACCACACACCACTGGCAGAGAGTTGTTCATGTTCCTGACATATTAGATAAACCATGCCATACCAAAGACCTTTCTCTCCCAGTTTGTGCAATAAATTAAGAGATTCAGAAAAAGGTGGTTCAAATACATTTATTAAATATAAAACTCTTTTTTTGCAGTGCAGTAATGATAATACAAAATATTTGGAAGATTAACAAGATTGCAGAGCTCTGGTTATTAATGTTTACATCAAAATTAAAATTGCATTTTTCCTGAAATAGTTTGAAAAAAAGGTAAAAAGCCTAAAGAAAACATACCAAATAGCTAAAATAAACCCAAGGAAATCTTATTCACAAGGTTGAAATGTCCACAAGATTATATCAAATTATGCTATGGTAACATTGAATGCATTGTGTTAGTCTGCAAAATTAAATCCAATGCACAACCAGAGTTAACAGCACCAGTCACACAAACATTAGCATGTTTGTTACATCAACAAGTGCAGACTTACGGTTTGGTGTCCAATTCCTTTTTCACAAGTTTTAGCAACAAGAAAAGCAGAAGTGCAGCATGTGATTGTGTGACACCAAGTGTTCCTTAACAATGCTTGCCTCTTAAAGCCATAAGGAATGTGACCATTCAAAGTACTAAAAGGCCAGTAAATGAACGGGTGTATCCAACTACCAAGTTATGTTGTAAAACAGAAAAAAAAACGTCTGTATAAATAGGGAAATAAATACTTTCACTATGCTGTGCATAATTTACTCGTGAACTTAGTGTTGACTTAAACCAGGTGCTGTAGCTGTTGTTATCTAGTGGATGATACAGACACATGCTAATGGTTTTAATGCACTGCCTAGTGTTGAAAACTGTGAAAGGACAGAGTGTTTTCAGTGCGTAGCCATCAGAAGAAGCATTCTTTGGTTCACTGAAATACTGAAATGGAGTCCCTAAGGTAAAAAAACACTGCTTCTCAGGATTCAGAAGTTCTGTGAGTGGATCATGTTACACATGTCCAGACATTTCTTTTGTAAGGCACTGTTTCGTTGTATGAAGTTGTTTATCAATGGCATTGCCATGGTATAGACATTTAGTAAGTGTTTGTATGTCTATGACACATAATTGACACTCAAGTTGGCCCTTCTTTTGCATAGACTTTAAGTGGTCATGTGTTCTATACTGCTTCCACGCCTAAATAAGTAGGTTTATGAATGACAATCAGTCCTCCATCCATGCAAAGACATCTGAACAGTGTGTGTAATCAATCTTTCAACAAAAGAGAGACAAATAGATAGCGAAAGTGAAATATACACCTCATGTTTGCATTAAAATAAATGTTGGTTATTGTATCTCTTTTCACCCATGTATGATCCTCGTAACTAAGGCTACATAGGACATTATAAAATGTCTCTCTCTCTGGGTTTCTGTAGTTTTTTTTGCTTAAACCACCGCATGTGCATAGAGGAGGAACTGATATGTTTAGCACATAATTGGTAATTCTTTGGTCTGGCCGAAAACGTGCTGAAATTGATAAGAGGAACATCAAGTGGGAAACAAAGCCCGAGACTGAACCACAGACTGGTGTAAGCCGCTGTTGGCTATTGATAAACCTAAACTGATTAAACAAACTGCAAGTTAAAGTATTGTTTGAGTTACTGTACTTAAAAGGGCTGATAGGGAGGTGTGATTATAAAGAAGGAAGGATCCCAGAATCATCACTGAGGAACCAAGGCCCTTAAAATCCAAACTGAGTCCTTAACTATCTGCTGTACATGACAGAGCCATTACTTGTTTACCCATAGTCGACCAAGGCAGTTTCACTTCCTCCTTATGTTGTATGCTTGTGAGGTTCTGTCGTATCCCTTGAAGCTGGAATAGGTCAACATGTGCTATGAAAGGCTGCTAATACGAAGGTTTTTATTCCAAACAAAGACTACACCAGGTCAATTTGTTGCTCCCTTCTAATTTACTTTGTACTGTCGAGAAATATTGTTGAGTAAAGTCTTTCGATGAGATAAAAACCGTAATACTTGCAGTCATTTGGCACATGTGTGACAATCTCTGCCTTTGAGCCTGGGCGCTGGCTCTGATCATTTCACTATTCTGGTCCGTTCTGCTGCAGTAAATATTAGAGCCAAGAGAACCTGGTCCAGTTAGTACCGGCTCCTTCGGCTCAGTCTGTGCATCCTAGTTTCCTGCACATTACTGAGGCAGAGAGTAAACTGAGTTCAAGGCTGCCAGGGCTTCCTGTCCTTGCCTTTCTGATCAGGAATGTGTTTGTAGCGACATTTGTCCCCAAAATGGCAGCCGGTGGTTCTCCAGAAGTAACACTCGTCCTCGTTCACTGGGCCCCGTCGTCGAGGTCTAGGCCGACAGGAAGATGTCATAGAGAAAATAAACACAGAAAGCATATTAGGTATAAAATCGATTAGAACTGCAGTCCTATTTTATGGTTTCAGTGACAGAGTTTCTCACCCCGCCGCTGCGCCTGCCTGCTGAGTGACAGGCAGACAGGTCTTCAGTGGGATGGGAAGGACCTTCTGAGTGCGCCGGTCAGGGTAGCGCACCACTAACCGTGTGTTTTCAATACAATGACCCTGTGAGGGGAAGCATACACTTTAAGTCCCAAAGAATGTTCTTTAAATACAGACACAAGATTGAAAAAGTGGAGCCAAATAAATCCTTACATTTAGTTTCTCCATGGCACGAGCTGCCATGTTTGCATTCTTGAAGTTTACAAAGGCACAGAATCTCTCATGCAGAACTCGGATACTCTCTATCTCACCAAACCTAAAATGCAAAGTAAACAAATTGCAATGTCAATAACCACATTCCATGTTTGAGACCAAAACAAGTACACACACAGGCCTGTTTAAATGTCCCAGTATTGAATTAGAAATCGATTATGAGCTAATATTAACAGATTTAAAGACAAGAATGAGCTATTATAAAATATTTTTGGGGATTAGTGTCATACATTTTAAAAAGGTCCCAAAGGTGCTTCTCAGTTAGTTCAGTGGTCACATTTCCCACCCACAGAGACGGGCAAGGGCTTCTAAAGAAAAGACAAAGAAATAAAAGGTTACTGAAGGCAATACAATCACAATTCAGATAGAGAATGTATGATTGTACAAACAAAATGGTCACCTACCCTGGTTGCACAACCTCTTGGCCACCAGCTACAGAACAAAAAGAGCTTAATCAATATCAGTAGAATGGATGTCGGATTTAAACAAAAGCCAATTACTGTTTACAATACCGGTCTCCATTGTAACATGGAGGAAATAAAAAAGTCCAATTTACAATTAATCTTACCCCTGGCAGCGTCAGAATAAGAGGCCAGAATAGCCTGCACAGTCGAAAATCTTTCCAGCAGTAAAACACTTTGCATTTCTTCGAAACCAAGCTCCTAGAGGAGAAAAAAGAATGACCAAAAGTAACAGTTAAAAGAAACAAGACGACTAATTAAATAAAAAAGGTTTTTTCATCTACAGCAACCGAGCAGGAACAGGAAACACCTTTGCCACTGTGTGTGCGGTTTATTTACCATTAACTGCAGCACTTTGCAGTTAAAGAGGTCATTGACAGCCTCCTCACAGTCTTCGTCGAGTTTCAGCACCTGCTCCATGGCCTTCTCTGCCTCACCGTACCGCTACAACACACAAAGACCCACAAAGATGTCTAAGTAAAGGCTAATCTTGTCACACTAGAAGTGTAAAGCGATTCAGCACATATTTCTTTTAATTACAAGCTTTAACCCACCTTCATGCCCATTAGAGCACTGCCCTTACGGAAGTATCCTTTGGGCCAGTCTGAGAACAGCTGAATGGAGCGTTCAGCGTCTGCCAGGGCCTGAGGGTACTGCTCCAAGCAGTAATAGCAGTAGGAACGATTCCCGAAGAATCTTTAAGATAGAAGAGATATGTTACATGTGCCTAAAATGTATACTCCTTTTGTAATGAACTAGTCATGATCACAGATGATGTACCTGTAATCCTTTGGATCACATTTGATGGCTTCTGTAAACATACTGGCAGCTTGCGTGTACTGCCCCTCTTGCACCAGTTTTATGCCTTTTTCTACAAGGAAGAAAAAATACTTATGAGTTGGCATCTCTTACATGCATGCTGACTTGCTAAAAAGATTTGTAATCAATCATTTCACTTTTTCCAATGAGGCATGCTGGTTCGGTAAACTGTTACTCAAAAATAAATTAAGTACCTGTCAGCAACGCACTTTTCTTTGTCATGGTGTCAGTTCCATTTGTCTGTAAGAAAAATATTATTGTTGCCAGTTTTATTCACAGCTGTGAAAATGTACTCACATATTTTCAACAGAGCCCTCTGATTTGATTTCCCTTTTCAAATTAGATTGAACGAATAAATACTATATGTATTGTATTATCTGAAAAATAATAAATATGTATGTATGTAAATACATTTTAAACAGCAGAAACAACAGCTTTTAGAAGAGTGGTTCATCTACAACTGCTCCTAGCTTCCTCATACAGCTGAGAAATAGTACACACACACACACGACACACACACACACACACACACACACACACACACACACACACACACACACACACACACACACACACACTTGAACATTGGGCCTTCACCCTTGCAGCACTAACAATGATGCGTCACCATTTGTTTACCTGTGACAACGAGGTGTCATCACTCGGGTCAGGGGTTGTGGCCCCACAGTCCATCGGCTCCTCCGGCTGCTGGACAGGGGGGCCTGTTGAGAAAAACCCAGGAAATCAACTCTTCAGAACTAAATGGAGCTGTCTTAATGTTTTGTGTCAGTTGAAAACGCTTAAATCAAGAAAATAGTTGCTATTATAAAAGAAAAAAACACAGTATAGTGTAAAGTCCGCTTAGCGATTTATTATTTATGTACATTGTGTTCTATTCAGTATAGTAACATGTAAGATAAGATAGTACTTTATTGATCCCAATTTGGGAATTGTTTGCATTGCAGCAGCATAAAAAGACATGGTATTGTACAATAAAAGAAAAGCAGCATGGGCTTTCTGTGTGTACTAACCTGTCAACCAAAATAAATATATTGGTGGTCCGGATAGCTTCTAACTCATTCACTTTCGAGTCCAACCACAATGACATGTGATAACAAAATGCAAAACTTGAGTGAAGAGAAGAAGATGTAATGCTCTCCAATTAAACAAGTCCAGAAGGCTGAACATGAGACAAAAACGCACAGATTTGTTGACTGAACTTGTTTCTCTGTGGTCTTACGAGAGAGATGTTTGCTTAAACTTTAGGGCAATGCTGTTAAAGAACACTGTATCTTTTCTCAGAAGCAATCATAGAAAACAACCACTGCCTCTAATGTGTGTGTTTGTGTAGGAGGGCATGTCGGATCAAACCAGAACACTGGCGCTGATTAAGGCCCAATGAAAAGACAAAAGAAAGCAAAACACTGCACCATGCAGGATTCTGCGTGGTGTCAGGTTTCCATTTGTTCAGCATTGATTTCCAGAGTAGTGACAAATTCATACTTGGTATGTGACTCATATTGTGACTCGGGGTATTTAGGGGAGTGATTGCAATTCTCCATATGCTCAATACAGTTTCGCTTTTCAAGCATACTAGATGATACTATAATTATAAAAAGTACGGGGGACCACATTTTAGACAAACTCTGCCTAAACAATCCAACCATACATTCCAACATTTTTTTTGCATGTCAAACTGAGTTTCATTAGCTTTAATAAAGTCGCTCATTCCACCATCATAGTTGAGTTAGTGTCTCAAAATATACATGGAAAGTGAAAGGAATCTCAGCTGTCCGTGTCTGGCTCACTACTCAAATGACAAGACACAACCACTGATTAAGTGCAGCTCCATCCCAGTAGCTGAATCAGCTTTTTGTTCAATCTTAGCTTTAATGGAATGTTCTCCGAATCAAATAAATGATCCGAGATCAGTGGACAAAAGCAACAAAAGGGCCTCTGTTTCTCCCCTTCAAGGAGACTGCTTAAACTAGCGTTGAGTGGAAAGGTGAGCTCCTACCACAGGAATGTAACATAAAAGTCTATCATTATAGAGTGGTACACCTTTTTTAAGAGAAAGGAAGAGAAAGAAAATACTAACCTTATCCTGAAAAAAATAACTAAATCACGTGGCAGGTTAACTGACTAGACCCATGTGTGGACACAACCTTAAAATAGTAACATGTAGTGGATCATAGGTATTTCGAAAATAAAGTGCATAGCCTACAACTGTTGTGGATGTAGTTGCGTTTTTACAACGTTAACATGAGACTTTGACAACTTGTCCTCATAACTTAAAAATAATATATGGAGTCTCCTCTGTGATAACTTATCTTGTTATCGTCTAATGATACTTTGAAAAAGTGACATTTGAAGACACAGATTGAGATACACAGTTATAATATACATTTATCATCACTAATTGATGCTACGCCGATGTTGATCTGCTTTACAGCCTGCATTTCTAGGAAACTAAACACAAAGGGAAAACCCAGAAGAGGAACAAAGTGTAGGCACATGACATTTAAAGACACATCACTTTATGTTAACTTTAATCATTGCGCAAGTTCCGGGCTACAGGGCTTTGCCACCTATTTGAGGCATTGTTATCATACCAACATGCAACAGGGAATGTGCTTCTAATTTGTGTTCGTCTGTGCCTTTTACAGACATCCCCCGCTATATAAAGCATACATAGACTTACACGGTATGTTATTACTGAATACGCCAAAGTTAACGCTTGTAAAAGTGTGTTTTATATTAGAAGTGGAACAACTGTATGGCACCGACTGCCCAAACTTGGAAATGGTGCAAGCAAGGGTGTAACTGGCAAGAGGGGAACTTTCATTGTTTGTACCAAGAACTCAGTTTGAACTTCACGACTAAGACAATAGCGAAATACTACCGCAAATATACGGTTTAATAAACCACGAGTTATATCATATCCACAGTTCCATTGTCACAGGCGCTTCACAATCGCTTACGGGATCAGTTTAACTTGTGGTTGAGTTTAGAAAGTTTTTAAAAAAGTGGGACGTTTCTTACCGCTCCCGAGTCCCAACAGCCTGCATATACCTCTGGTGAATTTCATGAGTGCAACCATCCAGCATTATCGTCTCAAATATCCCACAAAAAGTGTTGAAACAAATGTTTAGGTCAGTGTGGACACATTTGTAACATTGGGACAATCATCGATATCGAATCTGCGGGAATCTTTGGTGGTTGAGTCCACTTCCTGAGCGTGAAAACGCCGACGCTGGGTCCACCCTGAGCGACGTCTTAAAGGCACAGAGCACCGTTATCGATGAATGAACTGTGCATATCTTATCAGTGAGTGAGTAACAACACTACACAATAACTTGTATCTATGCATCTTATCGTTGATTAGAAATGATTATACTATTAATTAGTATTAATACAAATAATAGTTATGCAATTGTTACACAGTTTATCGTCATAGTATGATATGAGTTATTGAAATAAAAAATGTAATTATGCAAGGACATTGTTTTAATTCCTACATACCTCTCATTAGCTTCAATGTTATTTTTACATTAGCCTACTTTTGGATATTCTTAATTTAACTGGCATTGTTGTAGTTGTTTGCTATTTTGTCATAATTAGTTTTTTTGTTCCTGATCTTATCATTTACAGCACTTAAGGACTGTATAGGGCTGTATTTTGTATTATTGTATTGTATATGTGATACTGGCTGTTGAGTACACATCGAACATATTCAAAAATATATAAATCCCACTGCTGAAAAATATACAAGTACATTTACTACACTGTGTAGAGTAGTGTATCATGAGTAATAATATTTAGTCAAACCCTGCCTACAAAGTGTAGTTAGAGTTTAAAACTTGTTTTATAAAACCACATTTATTAACTGCCAAGAAGGTTAACAAAGAAGCTTTAACATAATTGTTTTGGGGTCTTCCTGAGGGAGTCAAGAGGAAAAAGCCAGGTAGGTCACCCATGCACAATTATAGGCCCATCAATCTTTGAACTAACCCTATCAGTAAAATACCTATAAAAGCTCATGCTTTTTGTCAAGTACTTGAACGAAACTGGTAGAAAACCTATTAGGCCACATTCAATCACAGTCACATTTTGACGAAAGCACAGGTGTAAACAATAAAATGAATCATGGCTGGATTATATCTGATCCTCTTTAGGGAGACTTTATAAGAACTGAGTCATCATTAATGTTATTAGTAACATCTGTGTTTTTTTAATAATCAAACGTAACACATACCAGCAATTATTAAAGCATAATTTAACCCAGTGAAACATTTGAATTTGTTTTGAGTTATTCAAAGTTGTAAAAAGTTCCCTTCTGCTTAATTCCATCAATACATCAACATTTATTTTATTAAGACAAGTGTAAGTTAGGTTCTAAAATTTCACAGATTTCCTACTGGCTCAGTTAGATGAATTCACAAATGTAATGCGGCAGTATTGCACTAGTGTCTTCAGGAGTGATTGTCTCGTCCATTCAATGTCAGTTGTATATTAAAATCAATAATTTCCCCCTTTTCTCTCATATTCAGATACCCTTACAAACATGATAGGATGGGGTGACAGTATATCTGTTGGAGTGAGTATTACAATTCATTTCAAATTCCTTAAAATCAGACAAAAGAGAGGTTGATAACACTGATCAGATAACCACACACTGATGCCGGTGGTGTTTTAGCGACGTTTCAGATCAGCTATGACAGTGAGCGCTGCGTTCCATCCGGGAGAACCCATCACACCACCACCTAAAAAAAACAATATGCAAATAAATTAGACAAGAATTAGTCACTTGGTTCTGTGTTGGGAATCGCAAACAAGCGACACTTTATATTACTAAGCGTAACATAAAGTGACTTCATTTCTCTATCATGAGCAGTAAGGATAAGATTTCATCCAAAGTTCCAAAGGTTCATAGCTGGGCTTTCCTAACACCAGAAAAAATAGCATTAACAAAATGTTGTACTTATAGTACACTATACACAAAAAAAACAGCTGCATTTGCAGTTCAAAATTCAGTGTAAGCATTAAAAGCAAACCTGGATGACAGCCACTGCCACACAGATACAGCCCTTTTATTGGTGAGCGGTAGTCAGAGAGAGAGGGCAAAGGTCGTGCTAGGTAGAGCTGGTCCAGCGACATTGATCCATGGAAGATATTCTGTAAAGACAAAAACAAAAATGTTTATTTTCATTTTTTTTGGATAAATATATAATTTTGTTAAGGG